CACGTCAAGCCCAGGTATCTCAGCAGCCTCATACACTGTGTCGTCATATAAAGGGGGAATGTCAAACTCTTCGTCATCTACGTCGCCAAGCCTCCTTTTCTCAGTTTCGTGTCCACCACTTTCTCGACCACGAGTATCGCATCCATGTACACCTGGTTTACCCATCCATGAGAGATCGTCCATAGGATCTTCTTCTCTGGTTTCATCTCCCTCATGCGTGCCAGACCCACCAGAATCAACTCATGATCAAATGCATTGTTCGTATAAAAGTTGTAAGGTCTTCTTGCCTCTTCTTCCTTAACCACACCTGTTGCATTTTTTTCATTGAATACAACCTCAACTGCATCTGAACCTCCCAAATCGCCTGGAATCAGTGGTTCCCAGAATTGGTAGTCATATCCTCTTGGCCTAACATCCCTCTCATCAACCTCATCTGGTACACTGTAATTGCTTTCTATATCTTCGCTGCAACCACTAAAATCACCTACACCAGTGGGGTTACTCTCTGACCTCATTCGTTCTTCTAACTTCTCAACCTCGTCCACCAGTTCATCATCGTCGATACTAATGAAGCTGCTTTTGGACTCTATGCTTGAAACGTAGCCTCCTTTCCCTTTAAAATCATTGTCACTACGCCGCTTCTCCCCTGTAGGTGTAACAAATCCCGCGCCCATACCACTATCAGCCTAAAAATCGACTTCAACTCGTTCAATCATAGCAAATAGATTCATTGACCCATTAACCTTCATATGAGTAAAAAATACTTCAACCCCCCATCGCTAGTTAGCAACACGGGGGGGGGAGGTCTTAATTCCAGTCGCTAAATCCATGATATCCGGTGGCCAATAAGACAGAGCAACACTATACTCAGCTCCACCAAATCTGAATGCACTAACCACCCGTCGTTTGAGCTCTTTCATGGACATTCCTTCCTCAACCGAAATAATCTTAGCCATCTTCTTCTTGTCCACGATGAACTCCTATTTACCATCCGAACCACAAACCCAGGCTCCACACATCACTAGACACATATCATCCATATGGAATTCACACAAACATCATTATGTTGTATAGAGACACCAAAAGCCAATCAAAATAATATCAGAAAATATGAAATCAATACACGCCATTGATGAACTACCTTCGCCATCAAGATTCCGACTATAGAGACGATGCTCAAGAGAGATTTTATTTTTCTTCTTTCAACCTCCATTCACAGATAAAATCAAGATCTCAGGCAAATGTTTTCTCACCACCTTCGAACATATCAGCTCTATCAAGAGAGAAAGATTTCTTCTTAATTGCACCATATACCAAGGAAACTCGTCATGGAGCCAACCTCCCCCAGCCGTTAGATGTTTTGTTCAAATCAGATCCAACGTCCCATAAATCTTTCCTCTCTCCCATATACCTACCTTTTTTCTTTTATTTCCTTTTCATTTATTGCAACTCAACTCCTTTTTTCCTAGTTACATTTTTCAGCGACAAGTTCCTCCCTTAACTACAACAAATAACTCTCATCTTTTTCCAGGGTCACTTACGTCCGACAAAAGACAGGTGGCGTAACATTGTGTCTATTCCAGCACAAGTTTCTTTAAGTGAGGAAAAAAGATATATTGTGTCTCTTAAGATAACCATCTCTATATAAAGTAGGAGAGATGGAGATAAAAGTAAGAGAGAAGGAGAGAGACGATTGGTCTCAGAAAAACGTTTCACTTGTTTTGAGAATCGTTTGTTTAAGACCATCTCCAATGGGGTTCTATCCCATTGGAGTTCTAAATAGTTATGTATGTGTATATATGCATTATATATACATGTGTAGTTATGGGACCTACAAAATAGTGTAAATTTCTCCTTTTTGGAACTATTAAAGGAGAATTCCATACTATTTTGTAAGTCCCATAACTATACATGTATATATAATGCATATATATACATATATAACTATTTAGAATTTCAATGGGATAAAATTCTATTAGAGATGGTCTAACGTGTCGTTATATAATCCACTTAGTTTTTTTCTAATTAAAAAGTTAAACTATATTATTATTATTTGTTCTAAAGGTACTCGTTGAGAAATGGAACGCTGCTGCTGCTCTTAGTGATCTAAATTTCTGGACTAATTGATAACCACTCATAATAAGAGTTGCTTGTGGATCATCTTATTTTTATTATTGCTTTTCAAAAATTCACGTTAAGGCATCAATGTGTACATTGATTGTGTAAAGAACATTCATAACTTAATTATTTTATTGATAAGTCGATTTCTTCATTGTCCTTGATTAGTGGCCACACAACATTGAGGACGATATGTCTAACCTTAAGATTTCGATTTTAATATTCCATATTTTTTGTTTGCTCATTGAGAAGAACTATACGGGATTAATACTAGAATATATTTGGTTCATTTGAAAAATTGGATCCTTTTCTTTCTTATTTGAGCTAAACAAGCATAAGCAAACAGAATAATTTCTTGTGTTTGATTTGAGTTTTATTCACATATATCTCTGCTTTTGTGATAGCTGACATTTAAACTTTAGAGAGGGAATATAATAAATTGTTATTAGATATTTTCTTTAAATGAATCTCTTAAAATTATTTTTTAATAATATTTATGTTTATTTATTCACATATATATCTGTGCTTTTGTGATAGCTGACATCTAAACTTTAGAGAGGGATATAAGAACATTGTTATACAGATTTTCTTAAAATGAATCTCTCAAAATTATTTTTCAAAATATTTATGTTTATTTTTTTATCAAACTATTTATGTTTATTTAGTATTGAGTTTTAAAACAGATACGCTAATATAAAAAAAAATAAAGAGGTTTTCCAAAGAAAATTGAGAATACTTTAGTAGAAAGACTCTTTTCCCGTTTCTACATTTTTAAAACATTTATTATTATTTTGAATGAAAGAAACAATTTAAAAGATGATTAACTAAATATAATTGGATTATTTGCGCCTATATCCTTTTTGGACCCAATATTAGGCAATTACCCTTGATGGGACTTATCTATTTTTTTGGACCATATTGCCATTCCTTTCACATGCATGTGACTCTCTCTCCTGACACACTCTCTCTCCCCACAACTTCTCTTTCTCTTTCCTTCGATTCTACTTTCTTTCTCATTCTCAAATTCTTTTATCATGTTAATATCTTCTTTTTTGTGTAAAAATTTATTGTTGCGAAAAATTTATTACTATTTTACTACTATTCTTATGAATCTAAATTATTTTAATTTCACCATATTCTGAATAAATCAGCATTGAAGTTTTTTTTTTAAAATCGCCGAGATGTTAACACTTATGTTAGCTGTTAACAAATAATGTAGATGTCAACAACAGTGTTAACTATTAACAAATACATGTATCGGATGTTTTAACAGAGACATTAAATGTTAACAAATTTTGTAAATGTTAACAGATGTGTTAACAGAAAGCAGTAACTGTTAACAATTTTTGTAGCTGTTAATTTTTGTGTTAGCTATTAAAAAACATGTACTATACGTGTAAACAGATGTGTAAATTGTTAATAATCGTAGATGTCAATACATTGTTATGTATTATAAGTAAAAAAATTTATATTGTTGAAGTTTCAATTTGGTCCAAAAATATGTGAAAAAATAGTATAAAAAAAAAGAGTGTGAAAAATAGATGTATGAAAAATATGTGTGGTTTAAAGAAAATGAAATGTGGCAAAAGAGGAAGAATCGTTGGAGAGAGAATATGTCAGATAAAGGCAATAGCTTCTGAGAGTTGGAGAAGGTCAATTTGGTCCAATTTCAAACAAACTGTACAAAAAGTTATCTTAATGCCAACTCATAGACAAACCACTAATTTAACTTCTTTTTATGGGTATTTGCTTAAATCTCTCGATATAATTTAACAAAGTACAGACAAACATAGGCTTCGAATGGACAATGCAGATCAAAAAATGCAGATCAAACAGAAATGCAGATCATGCAGAACAAATGCAGATCATGCAGATTATGCAGAACAAATGCAGATCAAACTGGTTAAATTAATTTATTAAAATAAATAATTTATGATAGAAAGTAAAAAAAATTATTAATTTAAATATCTAAAATAAAAATTCTTATATATAATAGTACCAAACAAAATTAACATTCTTAAAAATAAAATTACAACATACAATAAAAATTGAAAAACAAATTTAACATCAATGATTTTGGTTTGTCCCTAATGAATTTGCAATAATTTCTCTAATGTTTTCCATAAATTATTATATTTAAATAAATGTTTCATATTTTAATTTAAAATTAAATATCTAAAGAACTACGTACAACTTATTATAAATAAGTAATAAATATCAAATTGACACAAATAGCAATATATATCATAATTTTAATAAATATACAGAAATTTTATATTATATGAACATTTATCATAAATAAAAATTATAATATTATTATCTTTTACACTTAAATTTAATATTTTTACTCAATTTTGGTTCTTTCCTATTGTTTCTTTCACTAAAAGACTAATATTGTATCAATACAATCTTCATTCAAAAAAATAAAATGTAAAGACAACATGAAAAATATCAAAACTAATTAGAAACAACATAAATATATCATTTATGTATGTTTTTCTATCAATTTAAATACTATATATATTATTTTTTATTGCAGCCAAAAATAGATAATAAAAAAATAATATATATCTCTAATTATTGTAAACATAATATGTCAAGTAAATATATATATATATATATANTAAAATGTAAAGACAACATGAAAAATATCAAAACTAATTAGAAACAACATAAATATATCATTTATGTATGTTTTTCTATCAATTTAAATACTATATATATTATTTTTTATTGCAGCCAAAAATAGATAATAAAAAAATAATATATATCTCTAATTATTGTAAACATAATATGTCAAGTAAATATATATATATATATATATATATATATATATAAGTGTTTATAAGAGTATAATATAATTTTCTGGTTTGTAATAAAAGAAAGGAAGTTGGTGTAGTATTTATAGAAGAAAAAGAAAAAAAAAAGAAAAGGGAAAATCACCCATTGGTCACCTGTTTTTGGCCACCTCGCTTTTGGCTGTGTTTGCAGGAGAACTTTTTTTACATTACAATTGATCTGCAAGCAGTTCAGTACATTTTTTATTATTTATTTTTTGTTCTGTATTTTAGTGATGAATGGATAAAATATTGCAGATAGGACTGCAGTTAACTCTCCTGCTTTTCTTCTGCATTTTAACTGCACCACATTCATAGCCATAATAATGTATTAGAATAATTTATATATTATAGAATACAAATAAGATAAAAGAGTCTTCTTATATTCTCTGACGTCTCATCATCATCCATTCTATCATCAGAGCAGAGGCATCGCTTTCAACTTTTAAGTTTCAATAATTACTATTATTTTTGTTTGTTTGGTGGCTACCAAAAATAATTACGCATTGAAAGTCCATTTTATTTTTATTTTCATTTTTTTCTGGTGATATGTTATCTCAAAGGTCAATGGCAATTGTAAACAATGAGATCGCATTTCGGCGATATAATCTGTAGAAGCAACCTCGCCGTGTGCTCTTGTCGCACCACCGCGTCCTCTTTCTCCACAAGCACAGCTCCGACGATTCTCTCGTACCCTCCTCCGCCTCCATTAGCAATGTAATCCACCAACGCCGCCTGTACTGGCCCCAAGCTAGGGTTATACGCCGCCGATTCCATGTACCAACCTCTATAGACCTTCCCGTCGCAATCCACCAGCGCAACACCCGAAGGACACAAACTGTACGGCGCGTACGATCTATTCGCCGCAGCAAGAGCCGTACGCTTCAGTTCCACAGCGGAATCGGTGATTCCGTTACAGATCGGATCGAGATCAGAGATCGTGAGGTTGTTATCGCGATGCTCGAGGATGAGAGGGAAGTCTTTATCGAGAAGATCCTCGGGACCGAATCTGTGCGGCAAGATGCTTCCGAGGCGGAGGAATCCGTCTGCATCGGCGTCGGAATCTGCGGCGGTTACGTTCGGATCGGTGATTTTGAGTTTAATCTCCGGCGCGCCGCGGATTTCTTGGAAGAATTGTCGGCAATGTCCGCACGGTGCGGCGGAGACGGCGAAGTGACGGAGATGACGCTCGTCGTTGAGTGTGAGATTGGTGACGAGGAACTGCTCCGCGTGGATTGAGTGGTGGAGAGGGAGGCCTGGGAACTCCACATTGACTCCTAAGAAGATCCGACCCGACGATCCGAGTCCGACGGCTCCGACGTGGAATTTGGAGATCGGTGGACGAGCGAAGGATTTCGCGGGGATGACCAGAGAAGGGAGGAGTTGGAGGACGGAGACGCCGAGTTGGTTCGCGGCGGATTCAGCTTCTTCGGGGGAGATTACAAAGCTAGGCTTATCCATATTTTTGTTTTTTTTCGTCTCCGGCGGATTTTGGGTTGACCCGAATCGGGTCGCGTAAATGGGTCGGGTCGGAGATGTAAATTGAGAGATCCGGGAAATGAGGATCACGAGATGGATGCTCACTACTAACTAGACGGAAACTATTTATAGATAGCAAACAGAGTGGGAAACTATCGTACGCAAATGAATTACAGTTTGGTTTTCCACCTTCCGGTTTAATTGCGAAGTACAAAACCATGTTTCTTTCAATCAGAAAACATAAGATAACATTTAAATATATTATTATATGCAATAAAATATTTATAATGTTAAAATCGTGACCATCCAACATGAATTAAAATATATATCTATTTTTTTGTGGATCAAAGGAACTTACCTAGTAATTTCGACCACGTTAGGAAACTACAATGAGTTCAAGATAATATTATTTTAAAGGTAAGAAATGCATTGAATAGCTAATGACAGCTTAGGTTTGATCATTTTGTACATTTTAATTTCAGATTTTTAAATTTATAATTAATTGAGATCCTAAATAATTGGTAATAACCATTTTTCTCTCTCTTTTATAAGACCTTGCCATTGTTAATGACAAGATATCAAAGATCGATGGACGAGGTCACGAGGAGAGCTTTGTGTTTTTTAACTTATGGTTTGTTCTTATCGTTTGAAACGTCATACACTTCGACTATAAGATGAGACTTAGAAAGCCCAAACAAAAGATAAGTCTTTGTTGATAGTTATATTTTAACCAAAGGTTTAAGATTTCTTAGTTTGAAACTGTAAGAAGTAGTCGATGTATCTTAATCAAAAAATAGACCTTGGCGATTGGTGGCCCATTCGATTTCGGTTCGAGTGATTTGGATTTTCGAATTTTCGGTGTTATGTTCATAAGATCATTCAGTTTTTACTAATTTTTGGATCGGGTTCAGTTCGGTTCCTTCTGGATTTGGTTCGGATCAGATTTAACTAATGTTTAAAATCGTCTAAAAATATATTTTTATAACCTCGAAAATTGACAAAAACAAAATTCCAAATATATAAATTGTTTACAAATCTAATTAAAAATTAGTTAAACTATATAAATTAACTAAAAAATATCAAAATAAAAAATAAAATAAACTACAAAAATATTTTGAATACTCTAAAATATCTAAATCACCTTAACATATATAAAAACATTAACATATTTAACTAATTTCAGATATTTTCGGATCTTAATTCGGATTTCGGTTCGGTTCCGGTTATAACCAAAATCCAAAATAGTAAACTCATAAGTCCCATTCGGATATTTTTGTAAAACAGTTCAGATTTGGTTTTGGATTTTCTGGTTCGGGTTGGGTTAAGATCAGTACTTCGGATTGAGGTAAAAACGTCCAGGCATATCAAAAAGTATAGACAAGCACAAGTGGATATATAACCTAGAAGGCTAGAAAAGTAACACACCTAAGCATACAACAATTCAAGATGCTTATTAATTTCCTACGTATATACAAAATACAAATTAGTTTCAAATGAACATAGTCAAAATCTGTTATCGACAAAACACAAGGAAACGTTTAAGTGACGTATAGATGCACAAGGAAGTGAGTATTTATTTGATTGCTTGAACAAGTGCCATAACGGTTACTCATAAGTCCCGTTCGGACATTGGATACAAATGTCTGGTCGAATTACGTTAATAAATCAAAATTTGATCCAATTAAGACCCGATTACGTTAATAAACCCGACCAAATCTCCCAATTTCCCAATCCCTTTCTTTAACAAACCTAACCATAAATCAAAATAAACAGAGAGGACAGAGAAGGAGAAAGAATTAATCGACGAAGAGAGAGCGTTTCAGTCGAAGATTTTCCATGGCTAATGAAAACGGTGAAGACTTTGATGAAGAAACAGCTGAGAGAGAACAAAGCGAGATCGAGCAGGTACTCGAAGAATTCATTGACGAGCCTCATGTACGCCACGACGAGTGTCACTCGAGTGAGGATGAGGATGAGAAAGAGGAAGATGAACCTCGTAGGAATGTGAAGAAGAGGGTCCCTATGAAACGCGGTGCTGGAAGATTTTACAAGGGGCAATGTTTCTTGAATGGTGTGGTTTTCAAGGACTTTGTGCTCGATTATGCTCTTAGAACAGGCCGGAATATCAAGCAATACAAATATGATAAAGATAAGATTGGGTTCATATGTGTTGGTGGTGAAGAATGTGAATGAAAAGTGTATGTGTCCACTCTTCCTAAGGATAATGTCTGGGAAATTCGAATCTTCAAAGAGGAGCATTCATGTATTCCAAATGGTGAATGTGAGATGTTAAAAGTTCCTCAAATTGCAAGACTTTTTGTTGATAAGATTAGAGAGGAACCAGAATACTACATGCCCATGAAGATTGAAGAATTGATTCATGAAAAATGGGGGTTTACGGTATCTAGGTCTCAGTGTCAGGCTGCAAGAAACAAGGCACTAAGGTGGACTGAGTTCGAGAATGATCGTATGTTTGCTCGGCTTAGAGATTATGCTGCTGAGTTGCTAGAATCAAATTCAGATTTTATTGTGGAGATTAAGATTGTGACTGACACGACTAGTGAAAAAGTGATCGAAGAGTTCAACAAAATATTTTTTTTTCTTAACATCAGAAAGACATGGAAACAGTCATGTAGACAACTAATAGGAGTCGATGGATGCTTCTTAAAGCATAAAGTCAAGGGACAACTTCGTGTTGCATTAGGAAGAGACGTGGATACTGCTATATATCCAATAGCATGGGGGCTGTTCAAGTAGAAAACACAGAAAATTGGTTATGGTTTGTGAGAAAGATCAAAGATACCTTGGGATTGAATCAGGGGCTTGGTTACATACTAGTGTCAGATCGACAAAAGGTATGTGGTTAGTCTTGATGTGCTTTTGGTTATTTGTTAAGGATGAGTTTTGATGTTCTTGTTTTTTTTTTGTTTTTTTAGGGATTGATAAGTGTTGTTCAGACTGAGTTACCAGAGATTGAACATAGAATGTGTGTACGCCATATCTATGGTAATCTGAAAAATAGTCATGCTAGTAGAAAGGAGATGAAGTCATTGATATGGCATTTGACATGGAGCTACAACAAGGCTGAGTTTCTACAACGTTTAGATATGATTATCTGCTATGATGCCGGTGTGTAAGATGATGTTCAGAAGAGTAAGCCTAAGACATGGTGTAGAGCCTTCTACAAACTGGGAAACTACTGTGCAGATGTAGAAAATAATTCTACAGAGTCTTTCAACAACACAATCTCTAAGGCTAGGGAGTTTGATTTTGTGCCAATGCTAGAGGGCATTCATAGATTGGCAATGGCTCGTATTGCCAAGAGATCAGTCATCTCTCATTCCCACAAAGGTATATTACTCTTTGTCTATTTTGTACTCATTTTAATGCATGTTTCTTGATCATTTTTTTTTTGTATTTCAGGTATATGTACATCATATGTTACAGAATTTCTTAAGGCTGAGCATAAAAAGGCATCTGAGTGCAAGGTTAGTAGAAGTACAAAATGAGATGTATGAAGTAAAGTTGAGTTCATGCACTTACCGTGTTAGCTTGGAGAGGAGGACTTGCACATGTATGAAGTTCGAAATCTTTGGCGTCCCTTGCGAGCATGCTTATGAATTGATACTGCATAAGAAGTTAGTCTCTGAAGATTATGTATATCATTGGTTTCGTACAGCTACATGGCGAAGAAACTACATAGATGATCATGTCCCTGTGCGAGGTACTGAGTTCTGGCCTAAAACATCTGCTCCTGATGTCCATATTCCTTCTGAACCGCTTCAACCTGGTCGAAAGAAGATTACCAAAGCAGATAAGAAAAGGAATAAAAGAATCAATGAATCACAAACAAAGAAAGCCCCAAAGAACAAGAAATGTACTATGCATTGTGAGATTTGTAAGGAACCAAATCACAACTCAAGGTTTCACAAAAAGCAGGTCTGTTCTGTTTTTGATTCTCGAAATCACCTTTGTAAATTGACTAATGTGACTTCTGTTTTTGCAGGTTTCTCAAGGTCCTCCTCGAGTTCCTTTGCAGATTGCTTCTCAAGCTACATCTCATATTGCTTCTCAAGTTGCTTCACCTGCTTCCTCAGCAGTTTCTAGTTGTCTGTACGGCTTTGAAGACATGTGCTGATGTTCTTTAGATTTTGTATTTTTGTTCTAGTTTATGTTTTAGTTATCTCAGAATGTGGTTGGTATCCTTTTTTCAAGACTATTTTCGGCTTTTGGTGTGTATTTTTGTTGGAATGAAGAATAAATAAAGCAGGAGTTGAATGAAGAGTCCAAGTATCAGAGCAAGCAAATTAAGCATCCGAACAAGAAAAAACTAAATTTGTCTGTACAGACTTGCTCCACAAGCTATCATCTTGGCCATGAGTGTCTTGCAAGGCAAGGGAGGAGTTATGGAGACTCTTGTGACCGTTATTAAGCTCCAGGGAACCATGTGATTCGAATTCAAACTGAAGGAGTCAGTTTATATTAAATAAAGGAGATCACATGTGATCTGAAGCAAGTGGTCCGTTTGGTGATGTCTCTTTCCTGACCAGACCACCAGAAGCCCCTTGGCTTCACTCTCTTAATATTAATTTATTCTATCCCAAAAGTATTAGTTCTTTATTTCTCTTTGTTTGTCTTGTAATGTAGTTTCTTTGGCTACTTAATGGCCCTTTTGTATCACGAATTGAATTAAGCAAAGAGTAGTTCTCTTTCTTCATATTCTCTCTTACAGAAACTCTCTCTAAGTCTCTAATCTTTCTGGTTACTAAATCTCTCAAAAACACTCTCAAGAACACTCTTATTCTCCTTATACTCTCTACTGCATTCTCTTTCATTCTCTCTGGTTTCTATCATTCTCCTTCACTTAAATCGACCATTCTCTGTCTCTACATCACTCTTACACTCTGTTTTATCTATTCTCTCATGGTATCAGAGCTCTCAAACTTCTGAAAACCTAAATAGCTTCCGCAAATCTGTTTTTGTTTGTATCTCTCTTTAAAACTCTGTTTTGTTCTATCAATCTATCCTCTGGTCCAAAGGTTTTCCAGGAGGGAAAAAACCTCATCAGAACTCAAGATAGAGAAGGTATTTAGTCTCTGGAACTCAAGAAAGCCTCAGCTCAGTCCAGCAAACTTCACCAAAGTCCACATTCAAGCTTTGTTTCTCAAAAACCAGTGGGTACTCTGTTTTGTCTATTGGTCCAAAACTCTCCAAGATGGAGAACAAAAGAAGTATGGCGACTAAAATGGTGATT